CTGCCCGGAAAGTAAAAAGTCGCACATTAAATATCCACCTATATTTTAAAAATAATTTTATTAATTTGTAAAAAAAATTAAATTATTTTGATAATACATAAAATTTGGCTTTCTTTCTTCCCCTTCTGATAGTTTCTTTATATATAATAGGATAAAAGAAAAGTATTGTCATGTTTTTAATATTTACTATTTTAAATTTAAAAAATACTTTTAAAATATTATCATTAATACTCACTAAAACTCATTAAAAAGAGATTTTCATGTCTTTGCCCATAATTTCGCTTCTACAATCATCATCATTAATAATATTCAATTAAAATGATTTTTTAATTTTAAAAATAAATCAATTATTATTACCCATGCATTTATTTACGCTGGCTTTTTCTTTGATATAGAGGAATGCATTGTTTCAGATGTTTTTCTTCAATGACGTCAATATAATTAATGTACTTTTCATATTTTATTTATATTATTTAGGTGTTTAAATGTTTGTTTTGAGATAAATTATTTTAATATTATGTTAGTATTTTAAAATTTGATGCTGAGGTTAATTTTTATGTTTTTCTAATCATGTAATTTAAATAATATGCATAATAAATAATATCAAAAGTTTCATAAAAAAATAAAATAATACACTTTTGTTCTGAAACTGCACATTTAAATATAACAAACAAATAATTTAACAACATCACAACAAAAATTAAACATAATGAGACTCGTGCGAAGGATCCTTTACTAGTTATAAATATTTCCCTTCATAATAAATCATGTTAAAATCAAATAAGAGATCAATTCCTTATATAAGTCTTTGCAGTGTTATTCGATTCTTTATTATTTATCGAGTAGCATGAACGTGGTTAAAGTAAAATTTTGGTCTTAATTAAAATTTATTATAAGGAGAAAAAATTGTGAAATAGTTGTAAAGAAAGGTTGAGCATTTTAGATATTAAATTGAAGGTACAAAACTAGTTGAAAATAAATTACATGTCTACCCATCATAGTTAGAGAGAGTCCTTAAATTTGATCTACCAACTTGTAAATTATTATTATTTCTTATCACAATATTATTATTATTTTAAAAAATATTAATTTATAAATTACATAGTATAAGTATTTATTAACATCAAAAGTTAAATATAACTAATTAAAAGGAATAACAAACATATATAGGAATTAATTTCATTTCATTTTTAAATAAATATGAGTGACATCTAGATAAAAGTAAAGTTAACTTAATACTTAAAATTTCAACAACAATCAATCACATGAATAATTAATAAAGAAATCTAAAAATTAATTTACAATTGTCACTCAGGTACACATATTCTTACCTAGCATCCTTATCTCCTTATCTGCAAAATTCTCTCAATTTTCATATTCTTTATCTTTTATTTAACATATCCAAAAACCTCATTTCATCACTCAACAATCAAAAACACAATTAAAAATTAATTCCTCTCAACTTTCATCTTACCTTCGTCACTCCGAACCATCTCCAAAAATCCTAAATCCTCCTTCGTCACTCCGAACCATATCCAAAAATCCTAACTTAAACACAAAAATGATCCTTTTTCAACCATGTCCCTCATCATAACAAAATTTTCATAAAATCAGTACTTGTACATACCTCCACATCCTTTTTATCTCCCCAACAAAACCAACCAAACTCTTTTTACTCGTAGATCTTCCTTCTTTTCAAAACCAACCTTCTTAGAAAACCCTAAATTCTCTTTCATGTTCAAAGTTATTCAATTAATGAAAAATAATCTTTGAATCAGTACTTGTTCATACCTCCACATCCTTTTTATCTCCCCAACCACCCGCTATGAATACATCAAAATCAACCAAACTCTTTTTCTTCATAGATCTTCCTTCTTCTCAAAATCAACCTTCTTAGAATCAGTACTTGTTCATACCTCCACATCCTTAACCAAACTCTCTTTTCTCATAGATCTTCCTTTTTCTCAAAATCAACCTTCTTACCGATCTTCCTTTTTCTCAAAATCAACCTTCTTAAAAAATCCTAAATTCTCTTTCATGTTCAAAGTTATTCGATTAATGAAAAATAATCTTTGACTAATGGTCAAACTATTTTAGGACTGTGATGTTCTGATACATCCTTCGTCTCTTTCTCCCCTCTCTGGATATATTTTTTTGGTCTTCATCTCTTTCTCTCCTTCTCTGGATATATTTTTTTTTTTGGAGTTTCAAGTGAGTTGATTTTGTTGTTGTAGTGTTTAATAAAAATAAATGAAGAAGATAAATATGCATACATTCCTCGAATGTAGAATGAGGGAAAAATTGAATTTTCCACCACCATTACTTTTCTTATATTATAGATATGTGTTTTATATAGTTACTTTTGAAATAGTGATACTAAATAAAACACTCTTGAGGTTTTAAAAATGAATGTGTTCGTCACCCTATTTCAAACTCATGACATTTCATTGCATATTTTGAAAGATGTGTCTCCTTGACGCGGACAAAAAAAACAAGATAAGTCATACGCGTCAAAATGTAACAGATGTCCTATTATAAACACGGGTAATAGAGAACGTGTATGTTTTGAACATGATCCATTATCAAGTCACCAATTTAAATGATTACCTGTTGATGAAAATAAGGAACACAGATATATCAATTTCAAGTTGTATTTGTTGAAAAATAGTTTAGTGAAGTAACTAACGTGATTGTGGTTTGCCACTAATGGGACAATGACTTAGTTTAATTCAATTATTTTTGAAATAATCAATCTATTAGTAAAAGTGAGTTGGCCAAGTGATTGGAGCGTCGTCCCAATTGATTGGCTCATTAAATCAGCTCATGGATCATTTTGTTTTTCAATATTTTAAACTCTTATATAAAGGAGACTCTTGGATGATGGTGTGAATACCGCTTGCTATGTTATGAATAGTGTCCTTCTACAATTAATTCTAAAACAGTAAGAAATCTAAATATATGCTGAATATAAACTACCAAAATTTTTATTTTAGTTGAAATTTCTGATATAAAATAGAATATTTAAAATTTTTAGTAATATTTTTAAATTGACGTAAATTTTAAAATTTTAGATATATGAAATAGTGTGAACTAGAAATTATAATATGTCTAACATAAATTTTGTACGGAAATTTATTTTAAATTTTTTTTGTGAACAATTTTAAAATTATAAAACTATAAGAGGTGCATGCTCAAATTGAGGGTGACAAATTAAATATTCCTCATATTTGATATCAGAGTCCACTTCTAATTAAAGACCCATTTCTTATATCAAAAGCCTCTGTTGTGTTATTCAATTCTTATATTATTTATTGAGTAGCATGAATGTGGCTAAAGTAAAATTTTGGTCTTATCATTAAAAGAAAATTAATTATATATTTCATTGGTAAAAAAAACATTTGGTCCACTTTCATTGAAAGAGGTATCTTTAAAAGAAGAGGAAATTGTCAAATAGTTGTAAAAAATAGTTGAGCATTTTAGAAATTAAGTTGAAGGTACAAAACTAGTTGAAAATAAATTGCATGTCTACCCATCATAGTTAGAGAGTCTTTAAATTTGATCTACCAACTTATGAATTATTATTATTTCTTATCAAAATATTATTATTATTTTATTTTATTTTAAAAATTATTAATTTATAAATTACATAAATATAAATAAGTATCCTAAATCAACAGACTCATCGAACTTAACTATAGCTTAAAATAAATGACCATTTTAGGAGAAAGTCTCTCTCTTGAAATAGCTATTTTTACATTTACGCGCTAAAATTAAGCATTAACCTGATATGATTGGATATAATATAAATTTCACTTCATTTTAAATAAATAGCAGTAATATCTAGATAAAAAGTAAGGTAAACTTACTAATTGAAATTTCAACAACAACAACAACCAATCACATGAATAATCAATAGAGAGATCTAAAACTAGACCTCTTTAACAGCACCAATAGTTTCATTGACTTTGTTAATCTCTTTCACACCACTTGATTTCTCTTCAACTTCAAAAGCAGAAACTCGAAAAGTCTTAAAGAGTCCAGCAGGAGTTTGAAAAGTGATTTTACCAGTTGGTGGATCATCAACATAAATATCACTTAGTGTAATCCAAATGAAAAGCTCTTTGGTTTTCACACCAGTCAGTTTCATAATCTTACCTTTTTCAACCTGAGCTGTGACTTCAGTGGCATAAGAAACTAGTTTTCCAATCTTTTCAAACTTGTGTGTTATGCTATTTTTCTGCTTCAACCAAACGAATCCGGTTTCTTCGTTGTAACCAACTTCGATGATGTCTTTCAATGGTAAGAGGCCATTGGGGAGACCGACTTCTCTCAGAAGCTCTTGGGATTTCAGCCGACACATTTCGTCTCCATGGTATACCTCTGATTTCGATTTCATTTCTTCGGTTACCAAAGACATTGTTTTGAGTTACTGTTATTCGAAGGAAAGTGATGTTACTGTTTTTGGTTTGTTTTGTTGTGTGGTTTCAATAGATTGTGGTTGGGTTCTTATATACAACTCCTTTTGTGAAATTAGTCTTCTATTTTTCGTTAATTTCAACCATTGCCATTTGCTGTTTTATTAAATGCCACATTTAATTCCCTATCTTCCATTGCCAATAGCCACCCACTAAATTAAAATGGTAAAGCAAAATAATTTTTTATATTGAAAGACATAATATTAAATGTTTTGTTAAAAGACATAATATTAAAATGATTCATTAATGTCTAACCAATTCAGGTTGATCCGATGGGAAAAACTTGAGATATGTTATTTTTAAAATTTTAGATTCAAATTATCTTAAGTATTAACAATTTGTTTTGGTGTTCTATTAGAGAGTTTTTTTTTAATCAAAAAAAGATTGAATTAATTCAAAAAACAGTACAAGTACAAGGCGATCAAGGATCCTGCACTCAGAAAAAACACAAAGGCTAAAGGAAAAGTACCAAGAACACTAATAAATCATCAAATGAGCAATGTGTGACCTAAGTTTCTGGTTATGTCACTCCCTATAAACAATCATATCTATAATATTATCACCTATTTTTGTCTTATCTATAACATTACCGTAACAAATGTCATTACGGTATTTCCACACATCATATCCCTTACCTTTCGTACTCCTGCACAACCATTCCATTTCTTCATCCCATGCGGAATCTAGGATTTCGGTCCAGATACACACCGTTTCAGGACAACAGAAGAACAAATGATTAATAGATTCCTCATCTTTAGAACAAAGACAACATCTATCATCGGTGATTATACCAAATCGAAAAAGGCGTTGTTTTGTAGCCAGTCTTCCGTGACACGCAAACCACATAGTAATCAGAGCCCTTGGTCGAGCAGCATTACGTCGGAGTATATTCTTCCACATTATTTTTAGGGCACTACTACAGATTACCATATAAACATCATTCATCTTAAACTTGTTGCTAGTTAACATGCGATCCCATATCTGTTGAATATCCACCAAGATATCCTCTGTTTTAGGATGGTCCTCATAATCCATGAGGTGTGAGGTTTGATACTGACATTCATCAGTTCCTCATACTTTAAATAATAACTATGGACCCATTTTACTCACAGGCTATCAGTTTTACTACTAAGGTTGAGCAGCTTAACCATAGTAATTTTATTCCAGATCTTAAGATCAATGATACCCAGACCTCCATAATTCAGAGGTCTACAAACATTGTCCCAAGAAATAGGGATCTTCCTACTAATATCAGTTCCACCTGTCCACATGAACGATCCACACATTGCTTCAATTTTATGAATAACAGATCTATGGATAGGAAAGCATTGCATCCAATAGTTCGCAATGGAAAAAGTAACACTTTTTATAAGTTGGACACGCATGACTTAGCAGTTTAGCACTCCAATGATTAACTATACTCATAATCTTATCAATCAACGGCATATAATGATAGATAGATAATTTTTTAGAGGTTAGAGGGACCCCCAAATACCTGAATGGGAAATGACCCTCCCGAAAATTAGTAATGTTAATGATGTTCTGCTTTGTATCCGCATCCACCCCACCAAAATAAATTTTGCATTTTGCCGGGTTTAATTTGAGGCTAGTGGAATCAGAGAAAACATTAAAAGCCTCCATAATCAGCTCCACCGACATATAATCTCCTCTAGAAAAAAGAAGTAAAAGAGAGATTAGTAATATGTAACTTCTCACATTTAGCGTGATGGTTGAAATTGGGATTCTTCCATTTTGCGAAAGCATCTGTTGAGATATTCCATTATAATAACAAATAATAGGGGAGAGATAGGGTCCCCTTGCCTGATACCCCGCTTCGCCTGGATAGTTTTTGTATGATACCCGTTGATGTTGAATTTATAAGTAACAGAAGTGACAGTAATCATTATCCATCTAACAAATTGGGTTGGAATTCCAATTTCCTTCATAATACATTCCAGAGCATCCCAATTTACCATATCATAAGCTTTTTGAAAATCAATTTGAAGCATACATCGAGGTGTGTCTCCTTTCCTGGTATACCCCTTAATCAGTTCATACGCTAATAAGGATATGATTATGGATTTGTTGGCCCGGCACAAATGCAGTTTGCGAATGGTGGACAACATCGCCAATAACTTTACCCAATCTTGTAGTAAGTATTTTTTAGATTATTTTATAGGCAGTAGTACACCCTGTTATCGGTCTATAGTCTTTAATGGATTGAGCATCACAGTGTTTCGGAATAAGCGTCACCACAGTATCGTTAAAGGCTTTAAATAAGCGTTCATGGCGGAAAAAAATCCTGTATTGCATTTACCACATCAAATTTAATAGTTTCCTAGCTACCTTTGAAAAAACGGGCTCCGTAACCATCAATTCCCGGTGATTTCAAATAGATAATTAGTCATTCTTAAACTAGTAAAAAAATTGTGCGATCACATGCATTTCGATTTGATATGCGTATTTTTTTTATAGATATAAGTTGTTTTTACCGCGTTTATAAAATGTTTGAATCAACAATAAATATTTTTTGATATATAAAAAATTGTTGTTCATAAACATATTTTTATCAACAGTGCAATTTTTTCTGTTTATAAAAATATTTATATTAATAGTAATTTTTATTTTATTTATAAAAATATTTGTATCAATAGTTAAATTTTTTTCGTATATACAAATATTTGTATCAACAATACAATTTTTTCTGTTATAAAATATTTGTGTCGACAATATACATTTTTTTTGTTTATAAAAATATTTATATTAATAATAAATTTTTTTCAATTTATAAAAATACTTATATTAATATATTTTTATATAAAAATATTTGTATCAACAATACATGTTTTTTTCTATTTATAAAAATATTAGTAGCAACAATATATTTTATTATTTATAAAAATATTTGAATTAACAATAAATTTTTTGATATATAAATATAACAGCGTTAATACAAATAGTGTCATAAAAAATATTTTTATAAGTTCTATCAAATAAAAATAATACGTAAAACTATCAACTATACAATAATTTTACTTTTATATTACATTTTTTCTATTGTATATCTTATAATAAACTTTAATTCCTTAATTTATATTCATTATTTATTTTAGCATTATTACCCTAAATATTTTTAAAATTTCATAATTATATATTAATAATTAGTATCATAATTATTTTTTTATTTATAAATATGTATTTAAATTGATATATATATTTAATTATATTTATAATATAACTTAAGTGTCATTTAATGGTAGAAGTTTCATTGTGTGAATTTAACTATGAACATTTTTTTTTTCACAATAGAGACATTAATCAAATTTCTAATTAAATTCTTAGTTTGTATAAAACACAAAATAAATAATTTTTTAAATTATAATGTAAATTTACCTATCTCCTATTTATTTTAAATTAAATTTTTATTTTTATTTTTATCAAGTATCTAACATCGAAAATAAATTAGTTTTATAGTAAAATTATTCAAGTCACACAAATTATTTTAAAAAAACATAAGGTTGGTGATATTTTAAAAATAAAAGTATATTAATTAATATTTTTTAGAACAAATAAATAACAATTATATATTTTTTAACTTTACAAAATTAGTAAAGAATGAGATGTATGATGTCATTTTAAATTTATAAAAAAAAATTATAGATAATATTTTAAATTGATTTAATAAGCATAATAAAGTTGATATGTTCAACTATTTTCCCTAAAAAATGAGTATGGTGTTGTCATAGTCTTAGATTCAGTATAACATAGCATAGTAGATAGTAAGACAGATACTCATGTATTGAAGTATTTAAATTTTATCTATTTTTAATTGATTGCTTTCATACATGGCAGATCATAGTAGCAGAGGACCATGTAATTCAATTTTATTTTATTTTGTTTTATGTTTTCAAATTCTGCATTGTTAAAGAATACTTTTATGTGTGGTTATAACAATAAAGCACCAATTAAATAAATTAGAGAAGAGAGATCCGATAAATTAACTTTTTTTCATCTATCTTTAAAGAAAACTATTATTTTTTACTTAAATAAATAAAAATTGGTTCACACCAAACAACTTTAACTATCATTAAATGTCTTTTATTTTTTATTTGATTTTTTTTTTAAATTCTAACAATTGCTCTTCAACTTTAAATCCTAAAATGTTATATTTGTATTTTGTTATTAAAAATATTTATTTGTTTTTTACTCTAGTCACAGTATGTTTACAGTTTATAATAATTGATAAGACAATTTTCTACTATAAATTATTAATTTTGAAAAACATATTTGATTGATATAAAAAGACTAAATAATCAAACTCTATCTTTTTTCTGATTTGAAAAAAATATATATTTAAAGTTATAAATAAAAAATAATAATGATTAACGGTTAACATTTTATTTTATTTTTAAATATATTTATTTTTTTTCCTTTGTTAATAAAAATTAATTTCTTTCTTTCCTACTCTTCTTGTACCTCATATGATATCTTGAAAAATTGATTTACAATTGTCACTCAGTACATATATTCTTATCTTCTTGTCTGCAAAATTCTGCGTGTCATCCTCGGATTCTCTAACTCAGATTTCATATTCTCTATCTTTTGCTTAACATATCCAAAATTCTATTTCATCACTCGAACATAAAAAAACGCAATTAAAATTTAATAAGACTAGATTTTGCGTAACCTTCATATCATCTTCATCACTCCAAATATAGAACCCATAACCATCTCCGAAAATTCATCCAAATCCCATATTTTTCATTTCACACAACACTGAAATACTGAAATGATCCTTTTTCAATCTCATCTCTCGTCATAACAAATTTTCTATAAAATCAGTACTTGTTCGTACCTCCGCATCTTTTTCATCTCCTCAATCACCCAAATAAGCAAAATCCTTATCCAGAACTCATAATTCTCTAAATACATCAAAATTAATCAAACTCTTTTTCCTCATAGATCTTTCTTCTTCTTAAAACCAACCTTCTTAGAAAACCTTAAATTCTCTTTCATAGTTAAAGTTGAAGGTGAGATAATACTTAGAAGGGGGTTGAATAAGTATGAAAGATTAAGACTTAAAAAATAATCACACAATTATTTTTATCCTGGTTCGTTTAAACAACTACTCCAGTCCACCCTTCCTAGAGTGATTTGCCTTTCTCAACAAGGACTTAATCCACTATTAAATCAAACTGATTACAATAGTAACACCTAAGAACAACTGTTCTTAGTCTTCTCAAGAGCTACTGATTTCAACTGAATCCTCTTAAGGAAAAGCCTTTACAATCAATGTAAATTAAATACAAGAGTATTAATGCTTCTATAAAGCTTTTATCACAACAGTGATTTTTCTCTTAAGTTTAAGTACAATAAATTCTAAGAAGAATATGAAAGAATGAGAGCTTAGAATAATATGATTTCTTTTCAGCAAATTGTGTAACTGAAGAATGTGGTGAAGTTCTCCTTTTATAGGCAGCTGATCCAAGGATGCTGAGCATTGAAAAGAGAGTCCCAAAAAGGTCTGAGCCTTTTTGTCTTCACATCAAGTGACCTTTCCTTAAAGTAGATAACACAGAAAAATCTTTTTTGTCTGTGTAAGTGTGTCTAGCACAAATGAGGAAAGAGACGTTGAATAACTCCAACGGATATATTCTTGAATATTACTTCTTCAGTTTTCAGCAAGTTCTTCAGAGTCTGAATGGATTAGAGTCTTCTAATGATAATCAGAACTTTGCTGTATCAGAGTCTTCTGCAGCATGTGTGCTTTCAGCGTGTTGATCATCAGAGCATATTTGACACAGAACTTCAGTACTTGGCAGCGTTGGTACTTTCAGAAACTTCTGTAGAATTATGCTTTGAGAAACTCTTCAAACAATATTCTTCTTTGCTTCAGATGCTTCTGACTATCTTCAGATGCTTCTGACTCAGAATGTTCTGGAGCTTCTTGCTTCAGATCCTTCTGGAGACTACGCTCAGGATCTTCTGTAAGGAGCAATCAGATTCTTCTGTAAGATGCATCTGGCGCTTCAGAG